AATTATAAATTAGAGATTCGGGGTCAAACAATGTAAAATGATTTTGTATAAGAGAATATAAAAAAATTTGATTACACAACATTTCAAAATTATTATTATACTTTTTTGTATGGTTAACTTAGAATATTTGTAAAAATATTAGTAATTAGACCGATGAAAATTAGCTTCTTAAAGTAGATAATGGATTTCTAGTAGTAATTATGAATTAGTTTCTATTTTATTTTATTTTTTATTTTTAAAGATAATGGATTTCTAGTAGTAATTATGAATTGATTTCTATTTTATTTTATTTTTTCAAATCTGTATAGATAAGAGATGAGATTTTTTAAACACCTAATATCGTATGCAATGAGATTTTGTAACAGAAGAGATAAGCTCGTGTAGATTTATACTAAAAATAGGAAAAAAAAAAAATATTTATTGTTAAAACGATAAACTAAGAAACAGGAAAAAGAGAAACAAATCTTTACACAATTAATGAGCGGATTTTTTTGCCTATTCAGATTTGTCCAATAATTATTATATATAGGATATATTTAATGATTTTGGCGGGAAAAAGTTTCTAAATTTGTAAAAAGATTATTCTTTTTATATAATGATAGATTTTCACAAATGATTTATTGATTATCACCATAGAATTTCTGATATATATAGATATAAAACAAAAAGTAATTAACTAACTCATAATATCCGTGTGCTGCTGCGCCCTGTAAATTTAAAGTTACTCATCACTGTCAAATATATATATATATGTTTTTTCGGGAGAAAATTTGTGTTTTTATTTAAAATTTACGATTTTTTTTTCTGAGAGAAAATTTTCATATTTTTCTCAAGAATCACTCATTTACGTATGTTAGCGCATTAGACCCTCGCGATGCATCAGTTGTGATGCAATAACTAAAAAAATCATTTTTATTACTATTTGATAAATCATTTTTTATTTCAATTTTTCATGAAACTATAAAATTATAAAGTTTAATTTTCATTAATTATAAATATACCATTTGATAAATTATTTTTTATTTCAATAATTTTTTATTACGACTTTTTTATTTTCCCTTTTTTTAGTTAATAATTCGCCTATAATTTGATAGTTTGAGCTATTAGTTTGACAATTAAATGACATCATATACTTGATATTAGAATATTTACTTGTGAGTTGTCACACATCGTTTATATAGGGAAAGTAGACCTTATTATTATTTATGAGTCTAATGAACTACTCACGAATTGATTTTAGGATGAAATCTCACTTGGGCTTCATTTGGGTTTTCGCTGCTTATAGTGTGCTTCATGTGTGTGTGTGGGACCGCACTCGTTTTCCCCCGTTTCTTACATTTGATATATGAAAAAGTTGATTGTGCTGAATAAATTTTATTTAATATGCATCTATAATTTTTTTATTGAATAACTTTAGGTTCATTGTTAATTTTAAATTATGATTGAAATACACCTACTTTTAATATCAATACAATTTATTATTTTTTATTTTATGCATTTAACATGAGTATCGAATTAAAATCATCATTTAACTCTATGTTGTAACAGTATGTAACATATACACCCTTGCATTTGGTGCAATATTACAATAGGTCTTATAATTTTAATTCAGTAACTGAATACAATATTCAACCTTAAAGTAGTTTTTTTCGAAATCAAATTAAGGCTGTAATTATAAAATAATATTAAAATCAATAAATAGTTGTAGTAAAATACAAATAAAACCAACGATAAATCAAGTACGATGTTAACCTCGAATTCGTGAAAAATACATTTAACGGTTGACTTACAGCCACCAAAGAACAAATTTTCAAATAATTGACAACAAGCAAATTCATACACCTTTTTTTTATTCGTTTATTATTACACTCTCCTTACTTCAATCGTAGATTGATGCAGTGTTTTATTCCTTACAGATATTTTTGGATTTTTTAAGGGGAGAAAAAAGACTATTAACATTAGTATTATTTATATAATAAATTAACGAAATAGAAAAGTAGGATACAAAAATCCAGGCTTTCCTTTTCTTGGTCTGTCTGACCGACAAGCAAAATACCAAATTAGCCTTGGGCGGCGAGCCTGCTGGTGTTGTCGGCATCAAGTGAGCGGGGCCCACTCCGTTCACCGCTCGAAACGTGTCCAATTCCCCAGTTTAACAGCTCATTGCCAGTCGAAAATATTTTCCAGTTCCCGATAATGCCCCTCGAGCCGCACCATTTTCTCCGCGTAAAAATAGAAGACGTCGATTGTCACGTGAGAAGCCGTGCGTCACCCATGGCGTCACCTTTTCCTGTGGACCCCATAGGCCATAACGCACTTCACGTATTATATTCATTTAACATCTGATTGATATGATGTTTTAGCATTTTACAAAAATAATTAAATAACACGATGTTTTCCTCTAAGTAAACATGATTTTCTTTTTTCTTTACCTCTATAATGTCGCTGTAAAGGAAAATATTTTCTCTACACGACTCTATTCTTATTTTCGTCCTCAAAAAATTACGGTATGTTGAAAACGTCAGAAAAATCTGAGGCCCTTAAATGCAGCCCACATAATATATTGGGTGAGGCCCTTAAATTACGGTATGTTCAACTTGGGCCTTCTAGACTAAGAAACGCCTTTTGTAGCTTTTTCATATTTATTGTTTAATGGGCCGAAGGGCCATGTTACGAACAACTTGGGCCTACCAAGTCTCAACAAGAGCAACCAATGCAACTTTGACGACGAAGCCAAAATCGAACAAGAATTTAGGGCGTGCTTGTTTATAAAATATTTCATTCAAAATGAGTTATTTTAGTGAACTAGAGTTAATTTTGAAAAATGTAGTATGGTTAATTGTTAGTGGAATTTTAATAATATATTAAAATAATATTTAAAATAAAATGATTATTAATGATTTGATGTAAAAGTAGGATATAAATGATTGGAAATGAAAGGTAGTTAAAATTATGTGAGTGGATGAATAGTGAATTAAAGTTGATGTGATATGTAAGAATGATTGGTTTATAATATTTAATTATATAAATAATATAAATAATAGTGGAGTTGAGTTAAAGTTGAGTTAGATTTTGAGTGTGAAATGAATTATTTCATAAACAAGCATGCCCTTACATAAGATAAAACATATTGTTCTCTCTGAAATCTAAGGAAAATAAATTTACTACCATAGCAAAAGTGTATACGATTGAGAGAATCAAGAGAAAACTCTCAATATATTTTTTATTCAATCAAAACTCAACCACCTTCTTCAAACAAGAGAATGGGGTCTTAAATAAAAATTATAAGAAACCTACTTACCATAAACTTAAGACTCCTAAGCAATCTCTAATTAAATAACATCCCTACCAAGTAAAGGACTAAAATAATTAAATAAACTTCCTACCAAGTAAAAGACTAGAATAATTATCTTTACTCATTTTGTGTTGTATGTCATGGAGAAAAGAAGATAAAAAATTGTGTCTCCAATAATTAATGTTAATTGTGATATTATTTGTGATGTGCAAATTATAATTGGTTGGAGAGTAGAGATAAATTGAATAAATAATACAATAATAGAAATTAATGTTAATTTTGATATCACTTGTGATGTGTAAATTTGTAATTAGTTGAAGAATAGAAATAAATTGAATAGATAATATAATATATAATAGAAATTGATGATTATTATGATATCATTTGTGATGTGCATTTTGTAATTGGTTGGAGAATAGATATAAATTAAATAAATATTATAATATATAATAAAAGTTATTTAAAATGACTTCCACATTTAGAAAACCATTTAGACATTTTCCATGTCACATAAAATTATTGGTGGCATATGGCAATAAAATAGAACAATGAAACATCCATTGGAGATGTTAGGAGGATGCTTGGATACAAATTCACTCAAAAAATCCAAACATTTTTAACCTAATCTTTTTTTTAACTCAACGTTAACTTAACTCCACTATCATCAATATTATCAATATAATTAAATAATATAAACTAATCATTCTTACACATGACATCAATTTTAATTCACTATTCATCCACTCACTAATTCTAACTAACCATCACTTCAAATCATCTCTCTTACTTTTACACCAAGTCAACTTTAATTGTTTTATTTTAAATATTATTTTAATATACCCACTAACAACTAACCGTACCAACTTTTTCAAAATTAACCAAACCAAACCAAAAAATTCAATCAAATAAAAACCCACAATTAGACATGGCCAGGTGCCGGGTCCGGGCCCGGCCCGGCCCGGCGGGCCTCAATTGTTGGACCCGTAACCGGCCCGGCGTTGAACCGCCGGGTTAAAAAAAAAATATATAAAATGAACTACGACCCGTCGGAAAAACCGGAACCAGTCCCGGCCCGGCCCGGCCCGCCGGGACCGGTTAGTGAAAACCATTAAACCGTAACCTGACCGCTTTGGGCCCGGTCCGGTTCACGGCCCGTGTACTGTTCATGTCGGTACCGGTGCCGGTTTGGTCCGGGCCGGTACCGGTTCACGGTTCGGGCCACGGGCTGGTTCGGCCCGTGGCCATGTCTACCCACAATTGACAAAAACCCACAATTTACAATTTTGCACTTACAGGACTGGCATCAAATTTCGTGAACAAAAACGCACAATTGAGTGGGCCATATTACGGCAATATAATGGTTGACATAAAGACGTCATACAGACATAGCAAGATACACCAGTTTTAAAAAGTGCTTCAATTTTAGAATCAATAATTCATACATTTTACATATTATTTATGTAATTCATTATGTCAAAAATTTGAGTCAAAGTTCACATCAGATGTAGATAGTAATTAAAATTATATTATAAAAAAAAAAAACAAAAACAAAAAACNACCCATGTGAGTTTGGGGTCTGAAAGTGAAAGGACCTTTTATTATTTTTAATTATTATTTTTTTATTATTATTATTATTATTATTATTATTATTATTATTTACATATATTTTGGTACCCTGATATTCTGATACCCATTCAAAAATATGTCAGTAACCCATGTGACTGTGTGGACCTTACCACACCTTAAAAAAACCACAAAATGAGACAAAGGAGTCTACTAAAGTGGACTTTATGAAAAGCAGAAAACACCACTCTTTTCCTTTTGCCCTTACCCTTTCTCATTTTTCCCCTTTCAGTTTCTTATTAATGTGCACTTATTCATAATTACTGTCTGATAATGCCATGAATGGTTAAAATTCAATTGTTGACCAAAACAATAAAGGAAAGGGAAATTCATATGGTAAAAAAGGAGTGACAAATTACATAATTTCATCTACAATTGCATGCATTATTGTTTTGACACTTATTTTGTTCCAAATGCACAATGGAGCTTGATTTCTCTGCATAGAATGTCTTTGAAAACAACACTACATAGAATTTACACATCATAATAGGTAAAAAAGGAGAAGGGTAAATTTCCATTCTATGACAGTAAGTAAATAGTTACTACAAGACTCTGTTTTTTATATGCTTTTGTTCTATTGTGGTCCCTCACATTACCACATAGGAGGTACAAATGAGAGAGGATGAGGGCCCCATCCCATAAAAATCAGCTGTCCTTTGCTCGTGCATTGTATAATATTGATTGTAAAGTAGAACTCTAAATAATAAAATTATGGTACTGGTGAGAATGGTGATGACATTTTTCCTTACAGAGGTCCTTTTTTTTTTTCTTTTTTTTTTCTTTTTTTCTGCTGTTGGTGTGGTTTGGCTATACAGCTAGGTGAATTTCTCTTTTACTTCCTTGTGTATGTGCTGCTAAAAATTTCCTTTCTGCATCAGCCAACATGGAAAAGAAGAAAGGCAAACATTAGAATCAGTAATCCAAGAAAAAGTCATTTTTTTTTTTTTGCAGATTAAGGTGATAAAGACATACTTTAGGGGAATGATTGCAAAAAGTTCCCAGAGGTGGTGTCGAATTTTATAAGAGGCTAATGATAATATTTCTGTAAATACGTGGTATGTATGTTCTTGAGAGAACATACTCTTATGGAAAGAAAAATGTAGATGAGATCAAATATTTGAGTCCATATAATAAGATTAAATAGTCTTACCAAGCTAAGTTAATTCCTGCTTGCTAGCCTGTATCAGCAATTAACTCCTACATTTTATTGGCTTCTTGCCCAGAAGACAAACCCAGATGTCAGCTAAATATCCAAGTTTACTTTAAGAAAAATAAATGAAAATAAGGATGAAGAAAAAACTAGTAAAACCTGGATAGAAAACAATACCTTGGCATTTGAAGATAACATGATTTGAGAGAAGCTATATTGTTAGAGGCTGATATTGTTACAGGTATGTTATCATCCGTAGAAGAAGCCGAAGCTTGGGAGAAAACAGACTTATGCTCAGCAGCTAATTTTGTAGGCGAAGCAAAAAGATTATCCGGAAGAACAAGCTCCAAGCTGGTATTTTTTTTTTCAAGTACCCACACACACACACACACACACACACACACACACACAAAAAGCATATTATTACAAGCATTGCATTTTCCTTTTACAGCAAAGATGCATTTAACCTACCTTTCAGGGAGAACAGAGTCAGCATTATTCGAACCCTGCTGCTTATTAGAATCAACTCCTTCAAGCAACAGCTTCTGATCGGTAGCAATTGGAGGAGATTTAACTGCTTCCCGGCCACCATCAAGATCTGAACAATTCCCATATATATATAAAAAAAAAAAAAAAGTTTAGGCGACTATTTTCTGGTATCACAAGAATCGTATTAAATATCTTAGCTTCATCAAACCAACCTTCAGAATTTTCTAGATTAGAATCATCAGAAGAAAGATTAAAGTTCTGAATCATTAATAGCTTGGCCTGTCTAGGGGAGGAGATTGAGATGCCAGAAGCCTGAAGGCCTGGGAGAAAGTGGTGATTATTGTGCTGATTTTTCAAGTCCATAAGTTGTAAACTCATTATCCTCCGACTTTGGCGTTCAATGGCATTGTGTAATTCGGCCTCCTGCTCCAATTTCCTCCTCAGCAACACTTCTTGTGAGTTGAATACCATTCTTGATCCTGCACCAGAATAAATAAATAAATAAATATACTAAATTATAAATAGATGGTACTTTAAGTGGTAAGGTAATAAGCATACCAAATGGGAGATCCATGTGATCTCTAGAATCAAGTGCAGAAGGGCTTAAGCAAGCCGAATAATCTCCTCTCTCCAAGTGTTGTTGGTGCTTCCTACAAAAATAATACAACAAAAAAGAGTAAATAAGTAGAGAACTAGAAAAAGTGATAAAGATGTTCAATATAAAGGTGTGATAGCAATATACTTGTCTGGAATTTTTCCTTTCTCCTTGTAGGGTTTGACGAGAACACGAGAATCACACACAAAATGTGGATTGCCTTTGGCCAAAATGAGCTTAACAGTCTCCGCGTATACAAATGTCACAAAACCAAACATTCTTTTTTGCTGATATGGAATCCTAACATCTTGCACTGGTCCAAACATACTTTCCCAGAAAAAAAAATACAGAAAAAAAAAAAGGTTGCAACCATTAGTGTCAGCAGAGTTGCAATTTTTTCAGTATAAAGTTACGAACAAGCTTCCAAATCACTATTAACCTTACTTGAAGTAACTAGAGACATCTTCTTCCTTGAATGTGCTTTCAGCTGGAAATGTCAAGTAAATTTGCCGGGAGCTCGAGTTCAAACCACCAGCTAACATTTGGGAAAATTCACTTCTGTCAAATCTGTAATTATTGCAATTTATGTTATTGTTTCTAAACCATCATAAATTCATCACATGTCAATCTAACAACACATTATGTTCTATCTAAATTATCACATGAGACTACTTCCAATCAAAGACCTCCACATGTTGAAACAATTGATAGGAAATCTAAATGAATAAATCCAATCGATTTTTGCTATAATCGCTAAATACACAAGCTTTTCAGAGTTCAATTACATCAGGATATAATCTATTTGATAGCAGAAATCAACTAGAGCACAGTGGAAATGAAGATAAATCCCTCACCACAAATTAAATACTACTTCCCAACCAGAATAAATCAAGAACCCATAAATCTGAACTATGAAAAAGGATAAAAAGGAAAAGGAGCAAAAACAGAATTACAAATAATAAATAATCCAGCACATACCCAAGGCCAAAAAGGAAACAAACAAATCAATATAGCACATAACAGGGTAATTCCATTTTTTCAACAAAACAAAATGTCATTTTTAGGAAAAATGCAGAAAAAGTTCAACTTTCCAAAAAGAAAAAAAAATGAAAAAAGAAAAAACACCTCGGACTCTCATTCAGCAAGTCCATGCACTTGCTGTAGCCAAAAGGATGGTTCCCTCCGGCGGAGGCCACGGCGGCGAGCCTCTGCTGCTGGAGAGCTTTTATCCTCAAAATCTCGTCAAAACCTGAGACACCCTTGCTCGGCGACCCCACCTCAATCCCTTCCCCAAATTCGCCGTGCGAGAATTTACACAAACCGCCATTTTTGCAGAACCCCCGAGCGAAATACATGCAGGGCCTCCAGCCATTGCCGGCGCCGCCGCCCCCTTCCTCGAGATTACCCAGAAACGCGGCGTCGTTTACCGAGCAGCTCCGCCTGTGAAACTGGTGCGGGGTTTGGGCGCCGCCAGCGTCCTCACCGCAGTGGAAAAGCAGCGAATCGCTCCTCCCGCTGGGGCTCATAACCGGATCCACCACCGAATCGTCCATAAACGGAAATCGATTGCCGTATTCGTAGCCCAAACCGCCGCTACCGCTGCTACTACTGCCGCTACTAATGCCATTATTAGCGGCACTATTGAGCGCGGCGGCGTAGGAGAACGGCCTCGGGCTTGCTCTCTGGAAGGCAGCGGCGGCGGCGGCGGGCGAGGATGGGTTGCTACCGCCGCCGTCGCCGGCGGTGGGTATGACGACCCTGGGCGAGGTCCGGGGAAAGGGGCTGTTGGGGGCGGAAGGGTTTGAGGGATGGATCCCCAAACAGGCCTTGGCCCGGCTGATGTGGGATTGCAAGAGGGCTTCGGGCCCGAACGCTAGCCTAATCATCTCCTTCTCGCCGAGGTCTTGGAGCAGGACAAAGCCCATGATTTTGGAAGCATTATCCGGATCCAGGGCTTGGATCCTTGACATCACTACTTTAGTAGCTTCATAAGTATCCATGAGAGTGATTAGAGAGATTATGTGCCGTTTGGGTTCTCTCTCCTCTCTTCTCTCTTCTCTCTTCTCTCTTCTCTCTTCTCTCAATGGTTTTGAAGACTGTGTTTTGACAAAGCAGTAAAAAATTGCAGTAGGACTTGTAGTGGCACAAGGGGCTTCCTTTTTTCTCACTCAAAAGAAATCAGTGGAAAGGGGTTGTGTGAGTTTTCCTAGAGAGAGAAAAGGAGTTATTTTATTTGTGAGATGGGGCCTGTGAAAAATTATGGGAATTATTATTGGATTTATGATTTATGATATAGATTTAAGGTAATGTTGGAAACGGTGATGATGAGGGGGAGCTTTTATATTTAGTTAATCATTGAAATTTTTCTTATGATAAGGGACATCTCAAATAATATGTGTGTTCGTAGGTACACTTTAGACTAGATAGACTATAGACGATGGTATCTATGGGGGAAAGAATCACGCACACGGGGAAAAAGAGATCTGAGGTTGTTTTTCTCACTCGGGATTCCTTTTTCTTTCACTTTAGGTTTTTTATTTCTCTTTGTTTCTTTTTTATTTGGAAAAGAATTGGATTTTCAAAATTTGTTTATTTTAAGATAGTGTAGGTTTTACTTTCCTTGATTTTTGGATAATTTGAAGAATCTGACGACATTTTTCAAGTTTTACGGATGTTGATTTGATTTACTCTCTGCTAACTACTCCATTAAATGGTATCTTTTTTTTTTTTTCAAAACATCTAAATGGTTATCTTTATAAACGAAAAAAATTAGAAATATGAAAAAGATTTTCACACCGGCGCCGGAGCCACCCCTCTACTATTTTGTCGCGAGCTCAGGCTTGTACTAAGCATATTGGGGTGAATTGAGTGTGTCACCGATGTAGGATGTTTTTTGTTGCGTTACTTATATCTCGAACTGGGTTGAACCGCCTACACCGTAAACTTTCTTCGTTTTTGAGCTCCGGTGACGTGCAATACACGGGGAGAGGTCCCAGCAAAAAAACTTCCAACGCTCAAGTAGAGCCGACTTTGAACATCATTAGCATATAAAGATAGCTCGGTTGAACGGTCATTGTCATCTCGGATTGTGGGCTGAAGACTAGTTGGCCCGATTGACTTAGACGTAGTAAGCACTCAGATAAGTAGCTCAGATAACTAGAGAATGCGTATAGCTCGACAGTTAAATAGCATATGTCTATAACTCGACAGATAGGGAGCTCGGACAACGCAAATATGTCTACAACTCGGAAGATAAGGAGCTCGTACATTAATGAGCTCGACACAGGATAGTTAGGGCAAGTAACGAGTTCATACATCTATTTTCGGCCTCTTCTAGGCCAATTGTATAGTAATCCATGGCGAGGGTCGAGGCCTTCTCAAGAAAGGTTGTAGACTTGTGATAGTCTTCGATCACCTGCTCACAATACTCTTGTAGGAATTTCTGGCCAATGCACGTCGACAACAGCAACAGTCGAGCTTCCACGCGGCGGCAACTCCCGCTTGCCCCACCTCTCGCTCGAGCTCGGCGTCCTTGGCCATGAGCTCATCTTTATGGCAGAGCCCATCCTTCTTGAGTTGTTCGGCCAGCTCATGCCTCACCTTAACCAGTTGTTGATTCTCCTCGACCAAACGCTGGACTTTTTTCTCCAGCTCGGAGACAGATCGACCAGAGTCGTCCAAGCTCTCATCGAACAGAAGCATAACGAAGACGAGGGAAAAAAGAAAAAAAAAATTAACCGTAACAACACATATATATCAGGGAGAAGATTGAATTTGGAAATTTTCAGGTCGAAGCTTACCTGCGTTAAGGCTCAAGCAGCATATTCGCACTGTGCCTTGCGGTCAGGAACTCAGCGGTGGGTGTCTTCGGCAACCAGGGGCTACAGGAAATAGGAGGTCATCTCTTTGCCCGAACTAGTAGACAATAATGAGCAAGGGGGAGGACCTCTTTTTATTTCCCTCTGTGTGTGGTCGTTTATTGGCGGGTTCGACCAGTTCGGTGTGGGGTCATTTTTTGCTTGTGTCCTCTTAGGCAATATCGACCTACCTTTCGATCTGACGGCTGGTCGACTTTGATGGGGAGGGGTTTTCTTATACTTTGTCAAGGCAGAGGTCTTTTCGACCTCTCGATTTTCCCCTTTGAAAGGGCTATTTTTTGAGGAGTCGTTTGGGAGACCAGAGTAGCTCCTGTGCCACTCGGGGCGACTCCCTTATTGGTTGAAGAGGTCTTTCCCGAGCTCATAAAACTCTCTGCAAAAATTTGAGAAAAAAATTATTCACAATACAATATAATAATTCATCACGTAGTCAACAAGTCGAGCTTACCAACCTCATCATCCTCTTGGTCTTGGGGGACTCAGAGTTTATGCTCTGGAGATTGAGGTCAAAGAGTAAGGAGTCTACAGAGGAACAAGATCTTATTGTTTCAGAGAGATGTAGCAGATGCAACCTTGTTCGCATTCCAAGAGGTGATGCACTGGTCGAAGAGGGGGTTGCGAAAAGGATTTTCGGTCTCAAATGGAAGGGCCTCAAGCCAGAGGGTCGAGTCCCATGGAAAGGGGGTATCGAGTCGAATAAAAATAAACTTTCTCTTTTATTTGGAGACATTGGAAGGGATATCAGACAGAAAGTGGGCTTTATTCCGACTTTGGAGGTAGAGTCCCCTCTTTTGGCCTTTAGCAATAGAAGAATAAAAGAAAAAGTCGAGGTCAACTTGACCTAGACAAACAAATGAAAAATGATGAAGGTGGTTAGTTGGTGGATCGAGTTTGGAGGGAGCTGGTTGAGTGGTAGGCTAAAAATACCACAGAGGTCGAGCAATGCGGGACAGATAGGAAAGCGGAGGCCTAGCTTTATTTGGCTTTAGAAAAAGGTGTAGCATCCCTCGGGGGAATGGTCGTATGTGTCATTGGGCTCGGGAGAGATAAAAGGCCCAGCCGGTAGGTCGACTAGCAATGTCGAGATATTCTCGAACCCACCTGGTGCCGACAAGGCGAGTGCGAGTTGGATCTACCTGCGGGGGATAAGTAGGTGGAGAAAGTTGGCGACTAGAAGGGCCCGTATGTAGAGTTAGGCGTTGAAGTCGAAAGGTGGAGATAAGCTAGGTCGGTTCTAGTTCGGAACCGGATCTTGAACCGACTGTTCGAATTTTTTTTTTTTAAATATTGAATCTGAACCAGTCCAGACCAAACGACGGTCGATTCATGGACAGTGGTCAACAGTCCAAGCCAGTTCCGAAACCACTGACCACTGGTTGGGCTGGGCCGGTTCGCCAGGTCTGGACGAAACCGTGAACATGTCTATGTCTACGTGGAACTTAAACAAAACATTTTTTTTCTTTTTCTGCCTTTTTTTAATCACTTCACTAACAATTATAGACAAATAGCATTATAGGCCCAAAATAGGCGCCAAACTCAATTTTAAATCTGACGATGAATTCCCGACATGTTGTTACTAGAGATGGAGCCATAGTCATGTCCTTAAACAGGAGTAGCATTATTTTGAACGATAACTACTATTATAATGAATTCATAAAATAAAAACAATTTTCTACAAGCAGTGGCCATGTGTTTGTATGGCCATGCCCTCCGGTAAAGATGGTCGAAAATGAGACAAAAGAGTCCTTAAAGTAGCAATAGTTAATGAGTGTACAAAAATAAAACCATTATTTTTCCAAATTTTTCTATACTTTGATTTCCTTTTTTTTTTTCTTTATTAAAAGCATAATTACTTTCCTTTCCTGCTTTTATTTTGTTTAATGATGACTTAAGTTAAAAAGATGTGCAGGAAACTCTTGCTACTGAGAAAGATTCACAGCATATCTTCAATTTCATATCGTATCTTTTAGACTTTTACCCCTCTTGGGTCTCTGTTTCAGCCTGTTAGTTAAATTTGTATAAATTCCTGTATTTCTATTCATAGAAATATAAACAGCTTTTCTGCTTAATTGTGCGCGTGAGTATGTAATTTAGAAATACTTTCGGCTGGTTTACACTAAATATTTTTTGTATTTTTCTTTAGAGAAAGTTTGATGCACATGCTTTCAAAATCACAAAAACTCCTTTGAGATGTTGAGTAGCCCCTGAATATGAATGGATTTCGTTACAATCAAAAAGATTAGGAAAAATGAGATTAAAATTGACAAAAAAATAAAAAAAAAGGGACAAAAGGGAGAAATGTAAAATTAATTCAACTAAAAGTCTGTTACATGATGCTAGTGAACAATGTGTGTGGTCCACTCCACAGCACACAGCAAAAAAAGGAGAGGGTACAAATTACAAAATGAACAAAACAGAGAAAACAATAATACCCCACTCCAAATCAAATTAGTTCATATGTCCTAAGGCTTTCTTTCAAACCATGCATTATGTGTATTTGTAACCAGTATTGTATTTGATGATGATAATACTAATAATATCAAGATATAACACCTTTCGCCCTGTCGTGGCCTGTTGGTATAGTAACGATTTTCGGCCAAACAGCTATTCAAACTTTTGTCTTCCTTGTATCAATGTTGTACACAAAACTTTCTGCATCAGCCACCAAAGAAAGGACAACATTATTGAAAACTTTAATCAGAGCCAATCCATTCACATCATAAAACACATTAATATAACAACTTTATGGGATCGCTACAAAATTACCGAGGTTTGTAGGTAGAGTGGTGTTATACAGAACTTTTGTCGTGGAAATTGAAGTACGCACGACGGAAAATTATTTTTTAAAAAAAAATAAATCAAAAGGGTCTTTTTTTTTTGTATCCCAAGGGCAGTTTTTGTAATTATCCCAAAGTATATGTCGAAGAACAGAGCTCCATACCAAAAAGCTAATAAGCTAAAAATTCCTCCTTCCTAGCCATGAAAAACCTCTTATGCCATCTACATTTCAACGCCTTCTTGCCCGGAAGAAAACCTAAAGGCAAGAATAGTCAATTTACGGAAATAAAACTAAGATTTCATTGAATATAGGTAAAATATAAAAAGCAATAGGATTACCTAGGCATTTGAAGGTAACACGATTTGAGAGAAGCTATGGTTAGAGGAGAGCTGCTCGAGAGGAGGTCATTGCATGAAGATGAAACTTGTACAGTGTCATTGGCTACAGGCAGAGGCTGTGAAGAAACAGACGAGTGGTTTTCAACAGCAGATATTGTAGTCGAAGCAAATAGATTATCCGGGAGCACGTGCTCCAAGCTGTAATTCATGCCATACATGATATAAGCACACAGGAGAGGTAAAATTAGTAAAAATAAGGAACATTTACAGTTAAATAATTTGTCGAGGATAAATAAGGGGGGAAAATTTTATTTGAAGTTATAAAATAGCAGCGGTTAACTTGGAACGAGTGATTTATTCATTGGCATTAACATAATTAATTTTATTTGAAGTTATAAAATAGCAGCGGTTAACTTGGAACGAGTGATTTATTCATTGGCATTAACATAATTTACAAGTCTAGAGCATTTTCTCTGAAGAAAAAACACAAATTACCTTTCTTGGAATTCAGATTCATCACTATTCCCCCGATTCAGCATATCTCCACCATCAATATTGCTGTCGACCAAAAATTTGTGACCTTCCAGCACATTCTTCTCATCAGCTTCAACAGCTGCTTCTTTGCAGCCATCAAATTCTGCAAATATCAGTCGAAAGGTTAATGGACACATATTATGTTAACGGGAAGATGGTTCTATCTTTAATTTACGATGAATTTAAGGTGCACACTATCAAGTTTGCTGCTAACCATCTAAATTTTCTTGATTAATGGAACCAGAGGAATTTCTAAGATGATGATTCATTAGATCCGGAATGCTAGAGGGGAAACTCTGCAGATAATGGAAATTATGGTTTTCGCTTTTCTGGTCCATCAATTGTAAATTCATCATTCTTCGGCTCTGGAGTTCAATGGCCTGCTGCATTTCTGCCTCCTGCTCCAATTTTCTCCTCAGCATCATCTCTCGTGGGCTTAATAACATTCTAGGCCCTGAATATTTTATTTTTTCAATGTTATGCAGAAAGTAAGAAAAGTAAGGGAATAAACTCATTTAATTCATCAACGACAAAACAGCCAAATCATGTGAGCTACATTACCAAAAGGGGTGTCAAAGTGTTCCCCAGAATCAAGTCCAGAAGGGCTTAAGCACTGTTGCAAATGTTGTTTCCTACAAATTGTTTCAGTTAAAATAATTCTAGTAAACAATCATGAACTAAATCTTAGTAAGATCATCATGAACTATAAAGATATTCAAGAAATAGTACTTCTCTTTGTATTTGCCCTTCTCCTTGTAAGGTTTGACAAGAACACGAGAATCACAGACAAAATGAGGGTTCCCTTTGGCCAAAATGAGTTTCACGGTCTCGGGATACACAAATGTCACGAACCCAAACATTCTTTTCTGCTGAAATGGAATCCTTACATCTTGCACAGGTCCAAACATGCTTCAAACCACGGTAATAGATAAATAATGTATAATCAGTTGCGATTCTATATAGAATTTTGCTAGAAAGTGGAAGTTACAGTTCGATTTCAATCACCCACTTAAAGTAACTAGAAACATCTTCTTCCTTGAATGTACTGTCAGCTGGAAATGTCAAGTAAATTTGACGGGCGCACGAGTTGGCACTAGAATTCAATCCAAACGGTGAAAAATCACTCCTGTCACGTTAAGAACCCATCGAATTAATGAAATTTTACTAAAGCAGCATCACTCACTAGTGATTACAATCAGAAAAGGCAGAATAAAATGACAAAATCATGATCTTTACCCACGAATGACAAATTAAAATAAAAAAACGCCCCTTTTAACACAACCGCACTTACACAATGCCTTTAGTATCTGAAAAACAAATCTGACTAGCAAAAATAGAAACACCAAGTCAAGAACGTTGAACTTTTCCGGGGTCAAATTCCCCCAAAAAAAATTACCTTGGATTCTCATTTATAGCGTCCATGCATTTGTTGTAGGAGAAAGGACGGTGGCCGCCGGAGGCCATGTACGCAAACCTCTGCTGCTGAAGGGCTTTCAGCCTCAGCAGCTCTTCAAACCCGGAAAAACTCTTCCCGGGCGACCCAAGATCCACCGGGTCGACCCCGCCACCCGATTCGCCTTGCAAGAACTGACTCTCACTACCATTCTTGCCGAAACCTCTCGTAAAGTTCATGCAAGGCCTCCACAGACCCCCTTCCGAGATAAACGCGGCGTCGTTCACCGAATAACTCCTCTTGTGAAACGGGTGCTGCGGCTGAGGGGAAGACGAACCGCCGGCGGCGTCCTCGCCGTAAGGGAAAACCAGAGAATCGCTCCTCCCGCCGGGGCTCATCACCGGTTCCGCCGCGGCCGGGTTATCGAGAAACGGGAACCGGTAATCGTAGCCGAAGTCGTCATCTAGCCAGGCCCTGCTCCGCGGGAAAGCTCCGGCAGCCGGCGACGGCGGGTTTCTCAGATGGAACCCGCCGCTGTTCGGCACCACCACCCGCGGCGAATTCTGGAGGAAAGTGGTGTTTGACACGGCGGAGTGGGAGAAAGGGGGCGGAGGGTTTGAAGAGGGGCTGTTTGGAGGGAGGCCCAAACGGGCCTTGGCTTGGCCGATGTAAGAAAGAAGAAGCGGGTCCGGGCTGAAAGCGAGCCGTATCATCTCCTTTTCGCCTTGGTCCTGTATCAGAATGTAGCCCATGATTTTCGAAGAGTTTTCCGGATCTAGAGCTTGGATCCTCGACATCACTGTCTTAGTAGCTTCGTAAGCATCCATGGCGGCCGGCGAGAAGTGTGTGTGAACTGTGTGTTTCGCGGTGAGAGAAAGTTTGCTCCTTTTCCCCCTCACAGAGGAAGAAATCAAGAAAGTGAATGAGTGAGTGAGTAGGGTTTTAAAGAGAGTTTGGTGGAAGGGGAAAGAACAAGAATTGTTTGTTTGGGGTTGATGTGATTTTTAGTGGATGGGTATGTGTGAGACTTTAATTATTTTTTTCTTGGGAACCTGTAATGAAGGGGGATGGTTGGAATTTTACGCATGATATGCCAAAAGAGATTTTGATAAGTTGGTGCTTACTCTGTAATCTGTATGTACAAATCTCCCTTTTCTTGTATAGATTACAAATAACTGTGGGGTCTTTATGAAAGAGAAAAATTAAGTATAGCATTGCATTAATTTCTCATAGACCAAAAAAGGAACAAAAGGTGTGTTTTTTTTGTGTTTCTAGGCAATTTTTTTTTTTCATTTTCTTTCTTGTGTGTAAATTTTATTTATTTATTTTTGTATGTTTTTAGGCATTTTTTCCATTCTATTGTTTGTGTAGTTGAGAGTGATGGGACTTGAGGGAGTTGGATTGCAGGCGGTCAAAGTTTGGATATGGGAGAAAAATGAGTCAATTTGTGGCTTATGAGGTGGTTTGTGTGGTGTGGGGTGGGTCACAAAACTTAGAACCCTGCAGTCTTTGGGTAATGTGCAAAAACTTTTCTCTTTTTATAATAAAAACTCTCTCTCCTCTCTCTTCTTACATTTAAATAATTTCTCAATATAGTTGTAATCTCACAGAGTACTACTGAGCAGGAGTGTGGATTTTTCAGATCTCTAAACAGGAAATGTCCGTGTGTCCACTATCTTTTTTTATTGCACTGTAATTATGCAGAAAATTTGAACTCACGAGGTTGTTCGGGTTATATATTACAGGGCCATGTATTTTTTTTATTATTATTATTAATGTACACCATCGATTAATGTACAAATTTAAATATATACAAAAATAATTTTAAGCGAGCAGTGTAATTATGCAGCGGATTTGAACTTGTGAGTTCGTTCGGATTATATGTAGATCCAATTTTCGATTGACTCGTAGGATTTGGGTTGTCCGGAGGGACCACCACGGCTCCTCTCATTTCTTCTCCTTCACTTCGCTTCGTTTCTAAACTACACTTCACTTCGTTTTGTTCTGTTAGTCTCACTTTGTTCTCTTTAGCGGCGAAGTCATTTAAATCTTAGAATTCTTATAGATCCAATAAAGAACGTAAATAGAACAGATAAAAGTAAAGGAAAAAAACATAACATTATCTGATTCATGAGGATAGGAAAAAAGGTTTTTTTTTCCTTATAAACAATATTAATAAATAATAAAAGGTTGTTTCCCATTTTGTTTCTTTTTTTTGGGTTTTCAACAAGTCTAACAAGGAGCTATAGGAACTCTGAATAGTTGTTTGACCGTCGAATTATATCAAATTGCATAAATCAATAGTTCAAACCGCATTCAAAGGTAGGGAATTTCCCATTTTTATAGGAACTTTTACACCAGACACAATGATATCTCTATTTATAAACCCTGTGGGATGTAAAATACCCCATGGCTTCTCATAGGTCATAAATAAATCGAAGTACCTTTTCACATTATTTATCTTAATGTATTTGTATTTGTAAGATTGCTACCAAGTCAAATTCTTATTTTCTTATCCTAAGGCGTAAAATTAGACCAATGCAGTTATGTCTGCTAGATTGTCCTTTCTTTCTTTTTTTGTGGATCTTTGCCCGATTCTAAAAATGAAGACAAAGGCTCGATGTAATTGACCTTTAGCTAGGCACGCACCTTGGTAGTAGGACGTGAAGCTTTTCAATCTGCTTTTTCTGCTATTTTCCATAGGTTTCAGTATGCTTGACGTTGCCACGTACAAACGAAGCGAAGTGAAGACATAGAGGAAATAGGCGCAAGCTGGCCCAACCCTAGACACTCTAAGATCCTTTTTCAAACATGCTCCCATTTCAAGTCAAGACATAGATGGTCCTAGGCGTAGAGGAACTATACCAATCCATCCCTAACTCTACTGCAGTGACGATATTGTAGTGGAGGTCATGCGAAAAAATAGCTCGACGCCAGGATTAGGGCTGTACACGAGTCGAGCGGCTCGCGAACCACTCGCGAGCGCTCGAGTCAAAGCTCGGCTCGAGCTCAAGTTTGACCGAACTCGAGTCGAGCTTGAGCACATATTTTACATTGTCGAGCGGCTCGAGATATATGGTAAATTACTAAAATATCCCTTCTATATATATAATTTGACAAAATTGTTTGAAAAATTTCGAACCGAGCTCGAGCATTTTGAATTCGAGTTGAGCTCGAGCCGAGCTCGAGCTATTGTATTTTCTTATCGAGTGGAGCTCGAGCAAGAGCAACTAAAAAAAAAAATCCTGCTTGATAAGGCCAATGCTCGACTAGGCTCGGGTCGGCTCGTTTGCAGCCCTAGCCAGGATGACACAAAGCTTAACAACTCTCATTCTTGAGACTTCTACTGTCTCAGAACAATAGAAGTTGAGTCTTTAACTATAACTTCTAACTCTAAGTAAATATCTTGCTCATTTAATAACTCTAATAAAATAAATAAGTTTCCTAAACAAATTTAGGATGCCCTTAACAAATATTAAAATAAAAGAATAAATAAATAAAACAAAGAAAATAAATAAGTAAACCAATGATCCTAAATGATCATGTTTATCCTAAAAGACCAAAGCAATCGTCTCCATCATTCTCCACCTACAAAAAAGGATTCATCCTCGGATTCGGCACAATCTCATCTCCAAAATCTCGTCCAGATTGATAACTAGGTATACTCAAAATCTGTATATCGTCAAAATGGCCCATACATAAATACTACTTGAAACGCAACACGACGACGACACGCATCCGCAAGCCGCTTGTAAGATGCATTATCAGCCTCTTCTTCTTCCACATCCTTGCTTTGAATTTGATGGCAAGAATGACAAATGTCCAGGACTTGACATGAACCTCACCTTATGCTCAAGGTGCAGAGTTCGAGTCTTGGGGAAGGCAAAAACCAAAGAGAGTCTGAAGATGGGTTTTCATCCTAGGACAAGAGCACTGTGGAATTTCATGAGTCCCCGGTTCATGGTCATGGCCCACCAGGGGTCCGACCCCCCTCAAGTGGGGAAGGCTGACGGGGTCAACAAATTTAATATTATATGTATAACTATAACTAATAATACTCTATGTTAAAATATAATACAATTATCTAACTTATAAATTTAATATGATATGCATACAAATAACTTAAGTAATACTTTATTTATATGTGTGCAAATGCACAAGATATATTAATAAATTTTGTCATCACATAAACTGTGTCATTAAAAAATATAACCATTCAGTACTTAAAAACAATAAATACATCAATTCCAATATTGCTTTCAAATTACTAGCAAATAAATTCCGAATCCAGTACAATTTCAGAAAAAATAAAAATAAAAAAATAGTCAAACATAATTAATGTTTTGATTCTTCCCAAAATGTCTTCAACTTCACTGCCCCGTAACAATATAAAGTTTCACGGTTTTCAAATCAATATAATTTTTTATCCACCTCTGTCAACCATTAGACCACATTGCATTACTTATAAAATAAAATTGGTAGCTTTAGATATAGTTAAAGAACTTACTGCATTTTCAAACTAATAATTTTAGAGGACCTAAAGATCTTATTTTAATGTTCCAAACAAATTCTAAAACTTACCGAATACTAAAATCTTTTCAATTAAAGTAAGAAAAGGTAAACATAATATTTGATCACACCGATTGGTAGTATAATTTGCTTTTAATATACAGTTAAGTTAGACAATTGGAATGTGATTTGATGTCATAAATCACATTAAAATGTGATGTACTACTAATTATCCATGACATGAACGATATATGAATATTGTTATTTATTTTGTGGAGTTGTGCGCAGTCATGTTGTTAAGAATGAAGCAGATACTCCCTTTCAACTGGTAAGGGGTATTTTTACTGATATATTGTTGATTTGTTCTAGTTAACCAGCTGAAATGAGAAGGATTGATACGTAGCAAGAATATACATAAGCTGGAAGGCCTGGTTGCTATTTGTCTTGCAAAACACTAGAGTGTCATCATCGAAAAATAAGTGAGGCAGAGCAGGACCACCCTTAGCTATTTTTAGACCCTTTAGACCCTCTGATACAACCACAAGTAGTAGTTCATGGAAGCTCGGTTGTAGGCCAGATTTAGTCGCAGTTAGGCACGACCACCCATGGGAGGAAAGGGCTCGTGTGGACGTCCTTCACGGTACCTTCTAAGTGGACTAGCTAGGTGGAATACCAAGAGATTGATGAGCTAGGCGAATGGGAGCTAGGCGTGGACTAGCTAGGCGAAGACTAGCTCGACGCCAGCTAGGCGGAATACCAAGAAATTGATGAGCTAGGCGAAGGAGGGCTAGGCGAAGACTAACTCGGCGTGAGCTAGGCGGAATACCAAGAGATTGATGAGCTAGGCGAATGGGAGCTAGGCGAAGACTAGTTCGGCGTGAGTTAGGCGGAATACCAAGAGATTGATGAGCTAGGCGGATGTGATCGCCAAGTCAGCTAGGCATCTCAGCAGATAGGCGCCTAGGCAGCTAGGCACCTAGACATCACAGCAGCTAGGTAACTCGACACCTAGGCAGTTCGGCGAGAGGGTCTTGCCGAGGGGACCAGAGGCTGGAAGTGGCTTGGTGGCCAAGTCATGAGAAGGTTTACCACCTCAAGGACTCTGAAAGATTCGGAAATCTTGGACATGATCGAGAAGTAGACGCCATAAGGTCTTCTGTTTCAGTTAGAACTCCTCGACCTGTGCATGACTCCACCTATAAAAAGGGGACCGGTTCATTCATTTTACACAACACACTGATATACACGAATACGTTTTGTCTTGTGATTCCTAGCACTTTATCTTGAATACCCTACTGACTTGAGCATCGGAGTGTTCACGTCGGGACCACCCCCGACGTGTTTTGCAGGTTACCAGCGATCCAAGAAGGGTAAACCGATTCAGGAGAGGCGGTTCAGTGGTTCAAGACAATTTGACGTATCACCCCCTAACCCAGCCTCATACAAAATTAAGGAGGAAAACACCTCAGCCACCAGAAT